GGTCACTCACTGGTCACTCAGTGGTCACTCAGTGGCCACTCAGTGGTCACTCAGGGGTCACTCACTGGTCACTCACTGGTCACTCACCGGTCACTCCCCAGGTCACAACGCCGATGACGTGGCCGAGACGGTTCTGATGAATTTCCTGCGGGGGGACGTGGCCCGACTGCGGCGCGCGGCCAACGAGGCCACCATGGCCACCAACATGGCCAGTGTGGCTACCTACGTCACCGAGGACACCGCGGCCACCAACATGGCCACCATGGCCCCCAACGTCACCGGGGACACCGCGGCCACCAACATGGCCAATGTGGCTACCTACGTCACTGAGGACACCATGGCCACCAACGAGGCCACTGTGGCCACCAACATGACCAATGTGGCTACCTACGTCACCGAGGACACTGGGGCCACCAACACGGCCAATGTGGCCACCAACATGGCCAACGTGGCTACCTATGTCACCAGGGACACCGCGGCCACCAACATGGCCAGCATGGCCACCATGGTCACTGAGGCCACCGAGGCCACCAACGAGGCCACTGCGGCCACCAACATGGCCACCATGGTCACTGAGGCCACCGAGGCTACCAACATGGCCACTGTGGCCACCAACGTCACCAGCGCGGCCACCAAAGTCACCGGGGACACCACGGTCACCAACGGCACCGGGGACACTGCAGCCAACAACGAGGCCACCACGGCCACCAACGTAGCCAGCTTGGCCACCAACGTCACCGCGGCCACCAATGTGGCCAGTGTGGCCACCAATGTCACTGGGGACACCAAGGAGGCCACCATGGCCACCAACATCACCAATGTGGCCACCAATGTGACCGGGGACACCGCGGCCACCAACGTCACCGATGTGGCCACCAACATCACCACGGCCACCAACGTCACCGGGGCCACTGTGGCCACCAACGATGACTCAGCAAAACCATTGGAAAACCCAACAGAACTCTTGGAAAACCCAATGGAACTCAATGAAAATCCAACAAAACCATTGGAAAACCCAAAAAAATCAGCAGAAAACTCAACAGAACCATCAGAAAACCCAACAGAACTGTTGCAAATCTCAAATAACCTCAACAAAACCGAAACGGAGCCATCGGAAAAGTCAACAAAACCCAACCAAAACTCAACAGAACCATCGGAAAACCCAACAAACCTCAACAAAAACGCAACGCAACTCTTAAAAATCCCAACCAAACCCAACAAAAACTCAACCAAACCCACCCAAAACCCAACGGAACCATTGGAAAACCCAACGGAACTCTTGGAGAACCCAACGGAACTCTTGGAAAACCCAACAGAACTCAACAAAAACCCAACGGAACCCTTCCAAATCTCAACAGAACCATCAGAAAACTCAACCAAACCCAACCAAAACTCAACAGAACCATCAGAAAACCCAACAGAACTCTTGGAAAACTCAATGGAACTGAACAAAAACCCAACAAAACCCTTCCAAATCTCAACAGAACCATTGGAAAACTCAACCAAACCCAACCAAAACTCAACAGAACCATCGGAAAATGCAACAAAACTCAACAGAAACCCAACAAAGCCCAACCAAAACCCAACGAAACCATTGGAAAATCCAACGCAACTCTTAAAAATCTCAACCAAACCCAACCAAAACTCAACCGAACCATCAGAAAACCCAACGAAACTCAACAAAAACCCAACACAACTCTTAAAAATCCCAACCAAACCCAACAGAAACTCCACCAAACCCTCCCCAAACCCCACCAAATCCCCGAAAAAGCCCCAAAACAGCCCCGGGAATGCCCCGCCGGCGTCGGTCCCGCGGCTGAAGCCGCTGCGGCACGCGGCGCAGAAGGAGATCGTTCTCTACGCGCATTTCCGGGGCCTGGCCTACGCCAGCGCCGAGTGCCGCCACGCCCCGCTGGCCTTCCGCGCCCACCCGCGAGCCCTGCTCAAGGACCTGGAGGCCACCAGACCCGCCGCGGTGGCCGCGCTGGCCCACTCGGGGCGCCGGCTGGCCCTGGGGGCGGCGCCGGGCCACGGGGAGGCGCCGGGGGCTTGCGGGAGCTGCGGGGCGGTGGCCAGCGGGGAGCGCTGCATGGCCTGCGCGCTGCTGGAGGGGCTGGACAGGGGCAGGCCCAGGGTGGCCGTGGGCCAGCAAAGGGCCGGGGTGGCTAGTGA